ATCTTCATACGGGAGGTGCTCCAGTCCCCTGGTCATCCTCGTGGCCCTCCTCTGGATGTATTCCAACAGTTCCATGTCCTTTTTATGTTGAGGACACCAGAACTGCACACAATACTCCAAAGTGAGGTCTCATGAGAGCAGAGTAGAGGGGCTGGATCACCTCCTTCAACCTGCTGGTCACACTCCTTTTGATGCAGACCAGGATATGGTTGGCTTTCTGGGCTGCGAGCGCACACTGAAGCCGGCTCATGTTCATTTTCTCATCAACCAACACCCCCAAGTCCTTCTCCGCAGGGCTGCTCTGAATCTCTTCTCTGCCCAACCTGTAGCTGTGCCTGGGATTGCTCCATCCCAGGTGTAGGACCTTGCACTTGTCATGGTTAAACTTCATGAGGTTGGCATCAGCCCACCTCACAAGTGTGTCAAGGTCCCTCTGGATGGCATTCCTTCCCTTCAGCATATCAACCAAATCACACAACTTGGTGTCATCAGCAAACTTGCTGAGGGTGCGCTCAATCCCACTGCCCATGTCACCGACAGATGTTGAACAAGACCGGTCCCAACACCGATCCCTGAGGGACACCACTCGTTACTGGTCTCCAGCCGGACATTGAGCCATTGACCACAACTCTTTGTGTGTGGCCATCCAGCCTGTTCCTTACCCACTGAGTGGTTCACCTATCAAATTTATGTCTCTCCAATTTGGAGACAAGGATGTCGTGTGGGACAGTGTCAAATGCTTTACACAAGTCCAGGTAGATAACGTCAACTGCTCTACCCCTTTCCATCAGTTCCATAGCCCCATCATAGAAGGCCACCAGATTGGTCAGGTAGGATTTGCCCTTAGTGAAGCCATGCTGGCTGTTACCAAGCACTTTGTTGTTTTTCATGTGCCTTACCATGCTGTCCAGGAGAATCTTCTCCAAGATTTTGCCAGACACAGAGGTGAGGTCTGTAGTTCTCTGGTCATCCATTTTCCCCTCCTTGAAAACATCACACAGCTGTTGGATTGGACTTCTCTGTGCTGGTAGTCAAGTCCTGACTTGACCTACAGTCAATCCTGGGGACCCAAATGGTTGCCCAATATTATCCCTCCATCTCCACCAAAGCATACACAGGGTCACATCCCAACTGCAAGCTTTGTACTACTGCCTGCTCTTAAGTCATTCCCAGGAAGGAGGAAAGGATGGACAGCACAGCTTCAGTCATTTCTGCTCAGGTATCAGCTTATCCTGTGCCTTTTGATCAATGAGACACAGAGGTCCAGGGAGGTGTGGTTGGGAGGAAACAGTCCCTCCTCTTACTGAGCCTCACTTGTCACCAGTGGCCAAGACATGCCCATGATAAAGCGACCAAATTTATCATGGTGTTGAGGCTGAAGCACAGGGAGATGACGGTATCCCCTTTGCCTTCTTCGACCAGACTGAAGTGCAGAGATTTCCAGCCTGTTCCTTAAGGAAGTGTAGAGTATCCTAGAGTTTCTCCCCCAGCCACCTCCACAGGAGGAAGCCATACACAGTCCCTCCCCACTGCTGCCAATGGAGGGATGCAGAGGGCCACCCTTCTCTGGGGGAAGAGGCAGCAGCAAAGACATAAAGCAGCTAGCTGGCACACTGAGAAAATACTACATGGCCTAGGGCAGGCAACAAAACTGACATGAATGTATGGTAATATATGCTCCAAATACATTTTACATCATTTGTCATTATGAGCAATTTGATTACAGCCGAACCATGGCACCAGAATAGTGCCCACCATTCAGCTTTAAGGGACACAAACTGGTGGCAGAAGGCCATGAATTGAAAATATCTTCCTTTTGCACTACTGAAAAAATTATTTTCAACCTAAATCTATTCTTCAGTTGTTTTTTTTTTGTTTTAAATAAAGCCCCCACAGACCCAAACTAGATCTGTTCTCACCACAGACTTACCTTTAAAACTCCTTGTCAGATGAGAAATAAAAACCTCCGAAGTTTCAACACTACTTGATAGATCCTACAGAGGCCACCATGCTTGTTCTTCCCTGGTTGTTACTACTTTTGCCAAGGACATTACAGCTGCAACCATTTATTTAAATATTGTTACAATACAATGTTGCCTTTATATCACAGAAGTAGTTAATAACTCCTCTTCTATTCACTTCTTTAATACCAACCCAAGCGTACTCTTTGTTCCAGTTTGTGTCATTTCTTGCTGCTGCTAAACACTGAATATTCTAACTGTATTTCTGAATCTGCCATTAGGAACCTTTATATTCCATTACAAAGAGACACTGAGACAGGAAATAAAACTGGAAAGGAGTTTTATCAAATAAGTCTCAGTTCTGCTCCCTGCCACAGTTTGAACACAGAGTATGTTTCCTGTTCTGGTTCGATTCCAGCTCTTCACAGTGATGTGCAGAAAAATAACCAAAAATTGGATTTGTGCTCTTTTCTCCCTTATTTGTTAGTTGTTTGGGTTGTTTGTTTTGGTTTTTTTTTGTTCAGCGCAAATTCTCACCTTCCTGAATAATGCCTGAAGTGTTCCATTCAGTCAAAATATTTTCCTCGCTCTTAGCTGATGGAGTAAATTACGTATTCCCAGACATGTGAAAGTTTCTTATTCTTTAACAACAAGTCTGAATTACAAAAAAAATAAAAATGTGAACACCAGAATAAAACTCCTCTCCCCAAGAGTGAGATTTTATTATCTACAGCGTCATATTCCATTCAGGTCCCTCATGATTCAGCTGCGTGAGAATTATGAGGAATTTTTGAAGCACAGGCATAAGCCAGAGCACTCTCAGATGGCGTGTCAAATATGACACTCTTATCTGGGCCTAACCTGGTTTAGGCTGGAGGTAAACATGCTGGATTTCTCTCTGTGCCAACGAGGCTATAATTGCTGTTTTGTGCCACAGTAATAGTATTAAATCTGATTTGATTATTTAAAGCAAACAAACAAACAAAACAAAAACCCAAACAAAACCAAAACCAGTGGAGTGGGTAGCTGGTGGGCTGAGTACAGACAAAATCTGAATGTGGATAGCTGAGAAAGAACAACACAAAGATGTTTTTGCATAACTTCATTTTAAACTATCAACACGTCTGCCCAGTACATTTAAAATGCAAGTACAGATACAACTATTCCTTCCCTACACGCTGATGACTCGACAACACAACTCTGGCCTCCAGGTGTGAGTAAAGCAGTAAAATACACTTTAGTGTTTTTTTTTTTTAAATCTTTAAGAGTTTAAATCACACAATCCATCTCTCAGTTCCACTGACTTCAACCAAATAACTCAATGCATGGGACCTAACAAGTCTAACAAAATCACATAAAGAATCCTCCTAGTGAGCTTCCATGAAACAGCAAGCTTATGCATTGAAAGGTCACACAATCTGTTGTAAAAGAGTATAAGACAGCCACCTCTCTATCTCATGACAAATACTGAAGCATCTCTAAAAGTCAAGTAGCAGATCAATTCTTGCTGGATGTACAGCATATAAATGTCAAGAACTTTAACATGTGAAATCAAAAGGAGCTTTTAAAGTTATCTAGGTTATTTAATTTTTAAATTATTTAGGACTCCCAGAGGTAATGATGTGCTCCCCCTCCCCCAAAGCCACAGGCTGATAGTGTGTGTAACAAAATATTGTCACTCCCAAATGGTTAACAACAGAAAAAACAAAAGGTACTAAATATCATCTCTCCTGTACATGCAAATTTTATTTAGATGATCAAGTCATCTTGTAAGACAACATACTGACAGGCAGTGTACATTTAAGCTTCACCAAAAGCACATGATCATTAATCTCCTCCTGGGGGATTTCACGTAAAGCTGACAATTTCTGCTTCCACCAGTAATGCTTATTTACTAAACCCCAGATTGGGCTTCAAGCTATCGTTTTGAAAAGAAAACAACTTGTCTGTACTGCAAAGCACCATTTCATCCTAGTTGTGTAGCAGGGACTCCTGATTTTTTCACCTTCAAGTTGGGTGTTTTAGCAGCCCACCTAAATAAATAAATAAATAAAATCCTCCCCAAACTGAAACAAGCCGCCCAAACAGGGCAGGCAGGCAAGCGGGACACACACAGGCACCAGAGCAGTTAGCAGCCAGAAGCAGCATACATACTTCAAACACACAAAGCAAGCAACATTTCAACATTCTTGCCAAATGAGATTATGTGCTTGTATACCTCCCTCTCTCACACATGCACAAACCCACACATTACACAGCAAACAATACTCGCAAAACAAAACAAAGACCCTTTGTTAATATTCCATGAGGTTTTGCAATATCTCCCTCTTTGTTTAAAACTGAAGTAATAGTGTTGCTCGAGCCTGATGATTTAAATATACAAAGCCTGTATAGAGAAGAAATACAGATTCCTTTTAGAGCAACTAATAACATTGGAAAATACAGACGAGCTTTTGAGAACAGAAGCTCCAATTTACAAGCATCTTTATTCAGAAAATTAAAAGAAAAAAAGAAAAAAAAGTGGTAAATACTGCAGCCATTCAAATGCAGGCACTCTGAAAGGACACAATTGGAGCGTAAGGCTTATCACAGCCAGATGTGTTTTAACAGAATCTCTTATGGTTACCTCCCACCAACAAAAGTGCTAATACCAATACAATCTTTAAAAAAAACCTTAATAAAAACAATCACCTAAAATTTCCAAAACCCAGCAAGCTCTCTGCTTTTAATCCCCAGCACCTTCAGAAGAGTGTTAGTGTGAATGAAGGAAAGGTGTTTTTTTCTCTTAAAAAAAAAAAAACAACAACCAAAAAACCCAGCCCAAAACAACAAAGCAGCTTCACAGTTACAACTGAACAAAGTATCACACTGAAAAGGATCATTCACATAGCATTCTATGTGAAGCACTCTAATGAGGAGACTCTACAGCAGCCTCTCTAGACAGGCTGCCCTGATGTACATACTCATTTTGCAGGGTTTACAGTACCCCTACAATGAACTGTAAAGCTAAGACAGTTTCCTGACAAGACGTTCTCCTACCTGAAGCTTCATTTTCCAGCACGAATGCATGTGTGTATCCTCAGTGTAGCTTCCCCTGGTTGCATGACTCCTGTTATCCAGACTAAAGAGACGGAGCTGTGTAAGCAGAGCTGCTGACTGCCCTACATTTGCCTGCAGATGAAGAGAAAGAGTTGGTGCTGTACTTGCCTGGGCTTGTTTAAGCCCCCTAAATATAATACTAATGTAGCTCAAACTAGACTATTTCCTCCAGCTGATTCCAGTGAAAGGATCTTGTGATGAATAATGCATGAGAGCTTCTATGAACATGCTCTATTCCTTGCAGCAGCTGATGTCCACTTCTCCCCCCCCCCCCTTCCCAAAAGCAATCCCTAGCAATTTTTGTGCTATGAAGCATAAGAATTCTCCCAATGTCAAAAAAGCAAGCAGGATGCTCCTCCCAGATGCGTTTTCTTTCCTCTATTCATTAGTCAAGCCAATAGATCTGGTGATTTTCTTCCTTTTTTTTTAAAAAAGAAGATAAAACTCCATGCAGCTGGAAATCAAAGAAAGCATGATCAGCACAGAGCCGTATCTCTGGAGTACACAATACTAGTAAATTCAGTTGCTTAGTAATTATTTTTCTTATTCTTAAGAGCTGGGATGCAACAGAAGCTGCATAAAGATGAACACCAAAGAGAGAGAAAGAATGTGACAGTCCGGAAAACAATACAGCACAAAGAAGGTAGGAAAAAAAAACAACCCTGCGTGCTGTAGCTGGCAAGTTCAGTTGATTGTTTTCAGAGAAGAGAGAGTGCTTAGGAGAACGTAGTGGGTGGAAGAATATGGGAGATAATTCACATGCTTCTTGAACAATAAATTCCATTGTGTCAGTACAACTTTGTAAGCTAACTACAAAAATCACTTCCTTTCAGATATTCTTCCACAGAGCGAACATAGGACTAACTTGCAATTACTTTATTTGCAAGTGCAATTACTGCAATAGGCAAATGTCAATACATGCCACTTGCAGATTCAGTTTTATTTCTCAGAATTGTTTTCCTTTGATTTCATTGTTAGATACACAATGAATTATTTGGCATCTCTTTACCCAGTTACCTACTACAATCCAAGTGACATAGCTGTCCAAACACAACTGAAAAAGCTCTCACAAGCTGTTAGCTTCCTGTAAAAGAAACGTGGCTTTAATGTACTGTGTGTGCAACTTCCTAAATCCTGAACACGACTCTTCAGTTTGGGCATAACTCTGTAGACATCTTTGGGGCTGCATTTCTCAGGTCGCATCAAAATTCAGAGACAGTCCCTGCTGTCTACCCCTGCCTTGGGTGACTTACGCAGAAAATAAGAGATAAAATGCGACGACAACTGAAAGACCCCTAAAAGAAAGGAATATTCAACGCATTAGAGTCACTTAGTGACCAGTCATGTGCAGCTGTTAACTTTTGAGGGACTCCTCTTTCACCTCTGCTAACATTGATACTCTTCCAACACTAACCTTAGGACTCTCCAGACTACATTATCCAGACAGTTGCATTTATTGTTGGGTTTTCCCTGGAATACCCTAGGAATGCTGTACACACCACAAGGCAGAGGAGATTTCCTTTCCCTTCAACCACACGTTCTCCCAGACCAACTCCATCTTCTCAACTTCTTCAGATAACTGCACCCCATTCAAAATTATGTTTTACCACAACAGTACATGATACAATCCTTGGGCCCAGGACCATCCTGCCCATGCTTTGTATCTCATACTCGCTTTCTCATGCATGGTCAAGAACAACACCCTGAGCTGGATGGACCTTTTGTCTCATCCACCGCTGCTGGTCCCATACCCTGAGCACTCTGCATAACTCACCACTTCTCCCTCCCAGACCAAATATTACTTTTTAAAAAGGAGAAATCCAACACAAAATCAGCTCCACACACACTATCAGATTGATAACAAAGGCTGTGGAAACACTTATCTTACCAATATCCTATGGTTAAGCCTCAAGGAGGCAAACTTTCTTAACAGTTAAAAAATGTGGTCTGAATGTCTTCCTCCAGCTCCTCCATTACAATTTTAAAACTGGGAATCAAGAAGCTTCCAGAGAATTACCAGGGCTGCTTAAGTGAGAGGGCAAGGGCCCTGCACAAGCCCAGCCTTGTACACCATGAGCTGCAAGGTAAGCAATTGGGCTGAACACGACGGATGCAGGAGGACTACATTATAGAGTGATCCTTTTTGTAAAGGAAGCCAGAGGAAGTATACCTTGTTAACGGAAACATGCTCATATGGCATACTCAGACTCTACACTATCAACAAACAGTAGCAGATTAAGTACCTGAAATGAATCATTTGAAGTGCAACACATCTAACAGTTTTGAAACAGGGCATGTTATGTTCATTTCTGTATGACTGAATTTCAGAAACCCCAGCAGACTGTAAATAATAAGCTGCAAGATTAGCCCTATCAATAGCAGGGTTCAAAACTCATCTCAGTATTTTCATACCAGATGAGCTTTGATTAAGCAGCAAAATACTCTTCCCTCCCTGTGTCAGTCCTATGGACTCTCATATGGAACTAGTGTGAACAAGCACTTTACAACCAAAATTTCTGTCTTTGCTCAACCTGGGCAACTGCACTGCCATGAATTCACTCTCTAGCTGTTTTTAATATCTGGAAGACAGAGCTGAATTCTGAGAGTATTTCTTCCCAGAGGCTCTAACTCTGAAGCTAATGGAAATGGTAGGGGGAAATCTTCCAAATACACATTGTAAGGCTTTACATGCAGGGAAGTATGTATTTAGGCTCAGTTAAGAATTTCACATAGCCCATTGGATATTGACCCTTGTCCTCTTAGTACTTCAGGAAGTTAGGCCGAAGGTTGGGAAGGCTGGCTTCTAAATTCAATAGGTGTATTACAGCCAGTAAGAAGAATTACGCAAACACAGTGAGTTGAAGAGAAATCTGGTTTAATGACATTCTGTACCAGTGTTATGCCACTGAACTTTCAGTAGAACTATGTCTGCACACGGCCAACGGGGCTACTCTCATGACACCCATGGGTTATGAGTAAGTTTCTGGGAGAAACAAACCAGAAGACAAACAGATTAGTGTGAGAGTAATTAAACAGCTTTTATTATTTCAGACAGCTCTCTCCATTGGGTATTCAATTTAAAACATGAGTGAATTAAAGCATATCCTGCCTTCTAAAAAGGATCCTTCTTAGGGATTTAAATAAAAGAAGTGTTTTCCTAACTTTTTAAAGAATAATGGACTCTATGCTCTGAATCCATCTGTTCACTTAACGTAGCATACAAAGTTTGTGTTTCTTAAAACATCAGCATCTAAAATGATGGGACTTTCTCTAAAAATCTGTCCATTTAGAAAAACACACATACAAACTGGAAACATGGGTATTGAAAGTCTAAAGCCATGTAGCAGAAGTGACATGTGATATTCGATTACTTAATGTAGTTAAGGGTTTCCCCTCCCCCACAATATCAAATATTAGATTAAATAATCAAGTATTGGAATTTAACTAACATGTTAATTGGTTATTATTTATGAAAATGAAAAGAGCAGTTTAAAAATTAAAGGCATTCTGCTGAAGAGCTTTATATTTCACTTAAAACGAACAGCATTTTGTAGCATTGACCTGCACGCCTGAACAATCACGTTGCTACTGCAAAAGAGACACAGAAGTGGTCTCACCACAGCAAGAACTGTGTATAGCAAAATCATCTTTCATTCATGCACACTTACTAGGTGAAACATGAAACAGTCTGCAGCATCAGCTCACAGACACATTGCATCACTACATGCTTATGCTAGGGGACAAGCTGAATCATTTTGGCTAAGTATTTAGCTACTGGCTGGCCAGTTAATTTTACAGTCAAATTTTGTACAGTCTATTTAGTTCCTCCCATTTTTAAATAACTGCAACCTCCTAGGGTAATTCTCTAGAAGACCATCTGCTCTTTTCCTATAAATCCTCCTTTCAGACCTTACACAAATTTCCAAGCTGCCAATCAGAATTTCTTTGATGTCTGGGTGAAAAAAAACCTCCAACTATTCTGAACTGAAACATTCAGTACAAAAAAATTAGTTATCCCTGATCAGTAAAATAACGATAGCAAAGCAGGTCATTTCTCTGCAGCACATCTCACCCAGCAGGTAACTCCCTCAGTCGGATGAGCACTTGTGCTTTGAAAGGAGGATCACCATCCAGGGACAGTTTGTCTCACATTTTTAGCTCATCTTATTCTCTTCCAAGTTTCTGCTTTTCCAAACACTCTTTTCTGTGACCAACTCAGTTGGTACTGCCTGGGAACACCTGGTGGACGCTTCCCAGGTCTAATGCCAAAAAGAAGATGGAGGGAAAGAAGAACCCATTTGTATGGCAAAAGCGTAATGCGGGAAAGATAGGATGAGGAAATGTTAAAATACCAACCAGCGTTTCCTGTCTGTGAAACCGCATCATCATGCTTGTGCAAGCGCCTGCACTGCTCCTGTCAGGCTTCTGAAACGCTGCAGGCTGCACAGATCCAATGTTACACCAGACTTTTTCCAAACAAACAAAGCCGGAGGGAGTTTCAGCAATCAGGAACACACTGAAGAAGCTAACAGACTTTGATCCAGCAGATGTTTCTCCAAGCCTACGTGAATTTCACAGTGAAAAAAGAAGTGAGGATTTTGTATCTATTTTTAATTAAATTAGCACCAGTATCCAAATCTGTACCAACCATTCACAAATACCACAGAACATCCCATGCTTCCATGGAACAGGCAGAAAGACAGTACCTGGGGGTAGGAGCTGACTTTTGACTGCTGCCTGTGCCCAATTCAAATGCTTGTTGCTGCAACAGTAAATTCACAATGCTGCAAAGCAATATAACGATGCTTACCCAAGTACTGTGGGTGTCACTAAAGCACCTACAAACCAAGAGTGGTGTATAATGACATGGTCTGAAGATGTTTTCCAAAAAGCATTAAAAGATCGATTACAGAAAAAAAAAACAACAAACCAAATCCACAAAAAGCACTTCAGACTAGAGAAAAATGGATGATTGAACACGAAATGAAAAGGCCAAGCAACTAAGGACATATTAAGCTTCCTAAACGGTTTTATTTCCCCTCACATCTACAGCTTTGGCTCTTTGTTCCGCT